ACAGGCGCGTGCTACCACGCCCGGCTAATTTTTAATTTATTGTAGAGATGAGGTCTCGCCTGCCCACATGGGTCTCGAACCCGCAGTCTCAGGCAATCCATTCACCTCAGCCTCCCAAAGGCGTGGGATTACAGGCTGAGCCACCGAGCCCAACTTTTTTTTTTTTTTTTTTTTTTGAGTTGGAGTCTCATTTTGTCACTCAGACTGGATTGCAGTGGCACACTCCCAGCCACCGCAGCATCTACCGGCTGGGCTCCAGTGATCCTTCCGCCTCAGCCTTCCAAGTAGCTGGAACTACAGGCGCGCGCTATCATGCCCAGCTAATTTTTTTTCATTTACCACCAAGCCTGGCTTTTTTTTTTTTTTGAGTTGGAGTCTGACTCCATTGCCCAGGCTAGAGTGCAGTGGAACACTCATGGCTGAAAGGACAGACCGAGACTAGGAAGCCATTTTTTACCTTGGTTTTTTTCTTCTTTTGAGTTGGAGTCACTCTGTTGCCCAGACTGGACTGCAGTGGCACACTCCCGGCCACCGCAGGCTCGACCTGCTGGGCTCTGGCAATCCTTCCACCTCAGAAACTATAGGTGTGTGCTACAAAACCAGGATAATTTTTGATTTATTGTAGAGACAAGGTCTTGTCAAGTTGCCCAAGTGGTTCTTGAACCTGCAAGCTCAGGCAATCTACTCTCCTCAGTCTCCCATAGTGCTGGGATTACAGGCTGAGCCACCTAGCCTGCCCTATATGTTCTTAACCCCTAAAACAATGAAGAGAAAGTGGAGGCTATGTCCTGGAGAAATGCATTTTTGATCTTTTCTAAACCCTAACATAATGATGAGAAAGTAGAAGCTATATCCTGGAGAAATCCATTTGTTTTTCTTGTTCCTAAACCTTAATACAATATGTTTTGGAGAAATGCATTCTCTAGGTAAAGATTAACTTTGTCGACTTTGTCTTTTCAGAAACACAGATTCCTTAAGGATGACTGGTACTGGCCTATTGTAATTTGTCTTTTTAGAAATTCAAATTTCTGAAGCGTGACCTATTGAAAACTCACTGCATGGTGTCAAGGACCCCTCTCAGGATCTCCAAGACATCCACAAGAGGTCAACAAGGAAGTCACAGCAATCACATCTACCTTATTGCAACATCTCCAGGGGAAAGGATTTAAGCCAGGGCCCAGGGTCCTATGGGGCCACACTCATCTAGAGTGTAGGTCCACTTCCTGTCTATGAGAAGTAAACCTTTCTTAAATAAATCTTTTTTCTCTTCTTAGATGGAAGTATTGTTAGCAGGTTCATGTTTATTCTTCTGAATATTTTCTATAAATTTATAAGTACATATATAGTTTTTTTGTTTTTTTTTGAGTTGGAGTCTCACTCTGTCACCCAGACTGGAGTCCAGTGGCATGCTCCTGGCTGCCACAGCCTCGACCTGCTGGGCTCTGGCGATCCTTCTGCCTCAGCTTTCCAAGTAGCTGAAACTACAGGCATGCGCTACCATGCCCGGCTAATTTTTTTAAATTTTATTGTAGAGATGAAGTCTTGTCAAGTTGCCCAGGCAGGTCTCGAATCCGCGGGCTCAGGCAATCCACTCAACTCAGCCTCCCAAAGCACTGGGATTACAGCTGAGCCACCAAGCCTGGCTCATATATAGTTTTAGACATAAATTAGATTGTACTACACTTTCTATTGTGCCATATATATATATATTTTTTTTTTTTTTTTTT